ACACCCCACTAATGTCCTTGCTGTGAGAAAGGCAAGTGAAAGAGAAGCACCTGAGTACCCAGCAGGAAGGAATTACGGTATCACGGGATTGTCCAAGACCTCGAGATGAGGCGGAGATGAAACTGGAGGTCTTGCAGGAGGAAATAAAGGAGGCACTGCATGGAAATCCATGGGAAAGCAAGCTTCTTTCGTTTTGTTTTCTCTGAACAATTAGTTTAAATGGTATATACAGACTGAGGACCTGCTTCTCATGTCTTAGTTTGTTTCTGCCTCATATACAGAATATCTGTCTCTAAGGCCCAGCAGTTGTTGACATGTGAAAATATCACACTGCACTGGAACACTTTATATTTATGCCTCTGTTGAAAGTAAAGTTCTATCTCAAAGTCCCTAGAACCCACCAATATTTTCCCATTGCCAAAGCATGAGCTTTGATGAGGGCAGGGTAAGCCAGCCAGCACGGCTCTCCACTCGGAAGTCTGGCCAAAAAATGCCTAGTACCTCAGTATTTGTCCTATAAATCAGGACAGATGAGGACTATAACCGATTTCCCCTTTCTCCCTCTTTTAGGAAGGACAGAATAATCAAGGTTACAGAAACCTGACAGTTATTAACAGGGATAAATATGATACTCCTGACCTTAACCACAGTTATTGAATCAGACGTGTGTGCATGCCTCCATGCACACATACGTGTGCGTACACTACAGGATTCAGATTTTCCTGGCAAGCTGTTTGCTGCTGGCAAGACGATGCAGTAGAACTGCTGGCACAGAGATGCTGAACTGAGGACTAACAGAGGCCAGCAAGTCAAAGTGAAATTAGGTTTAAAAGGTTCCAATCTTAGTTTTCCCCTAACAGAGAGTCATTCTCACTGTTTCCATAACAGTAATATGTGCTCTTGACAAGTGATCTGAACTTGTTTTTACATCCAGACATTCTATATTGGTTACGCTCTGCTTGGAGGCAGAAACTGAATTTGGTCTGTTTTTACTGCAGCCTTTTTACATGATGCATCTCAGTATGTGATGAAGTCTGTCATAGTCAGAAGTCAGACTGTGTGACTCTCCAAGCTTTCAAAGCACTCAGTCAACATTAACTAACATAAAAATAATTTAATATTTTGAAATTTAATTTTGATATTGCCAACCTCAAAAACTCTCATATTTTACAGTGCTAAGAAATAAGTCTTTGTTTAAGCAAAGGAGATTTTTCTCACTTAGGGCCCGTTTCATGAGTTATTTACATTCCCAAATCCTACTTAGATGTCTAAATAATAGCTGATTGCAAATATTTTTGTGATTGTAGCCCTTAAATCTTAATCTCTGCCAATATGCAGCTGGGGGCTATAGAAATGCATCCTCTGGTGACTTCCCTTATTTGAAAACTAAATTGCCATCCATGAAAGCAAACCTGGAATTTCTGGGAAAGTTCCCAGAACTACAAGCTAACAATGCCTGCAGCAGCCACTGCCATATCCTAAGCTAAGGAAGTTTTCATTTTACAAGCTGTCTGATGTAATATCTGTTTCATTAATATGACTTTTTGTGCCTAGAATTCCCACAGTAAAACCTTCTATAAACACAGCATCACCACTGATGTCTGACATCAGAGTATTTACTTCTTAATCTTATGGGCATTCCCATGCATTTTCTGGTCCCATCTGCACTTCTATTCATGCAAATGTGTGTAGCTACTGTATCTAGCAATTAGGTCAGGTATGAAAGTGAATGCTAGAAATTATGGCGGTGATGTCTACTGATCCTGTATTTCATGTGATAAACAGCGTGTTTAATATGAAAACCATCTGTACATTTTAACTTCAAGGAAGAGAGAATAAAATGCACTGTACGGTGCCAACTGCTTATTATGCTCTTTGATGGGTCTCTAATTAACTGAGTTTTCTCAACTGATTGCCAAGGGGATATCTGATGCCTCTTCCCAAAAGATATAAAACAGGAAAGGGAGACAATATAGAGAGGGAGCATACTCCCTGTTTCAAGGACAAGTTTAAGCCTGAAGTCAAAACAGTGAAAGGCTGAACTAATTGTTAATCCTAAAGAAGAGAAAATTGATTGGGTTTATAGTAGTCTGAGGTTTTTTCAAAGAAAAAGGGAATCATCTGTTTCCCATGTCCATGGATAGATCAGAAGAGTAGTATGGGCTTCATTTACAGTAAAAACCTTGAGCAAGATAGCAGAAGAATGGTAAGGAGAGTTAATCGCTATAACAGAATGTCTTAGGAGGTTGCACAATCTTCATTATCAGAAGCTTTTAAGAGTAGCTTAGACAAATATCCGTCAGAAATTAAACAGGTAATGTTAACCCCACACTTACACAGGGGGATTGGTTCACTAACTTCTAGACTGTTTTCTTCTAAGTTTCTGATTCTGTGGCTTTAAGTAGGCCCTGTCCTTCACTCAGAAAGATGACTAGGAGCATTGCAGACTGAGTGGTCTATAGTCCTTTTTCCACGTAGATGGGATGGAATTCATCTTACCTTAAAAGTTATTTCAACAGCTTTAGACAAATACAATGCAGTTACAAACATCTAAGCCAGGTCTGTAGATATCCTTTACAAGCAAAACAGGCATTACTGGAGCACAGTTATCTGCCCTGCTTTAAACATCTACCATTGACTGACGCAACGTATCGACTATGTTCCATTGATTGAGAAAGGGACTAGTGGGACGGGCTAAGTTGCAGGTGCCATCTCTCTTGATACTTAACAGCTAAGATGATTCCTAGCATAAAAGTGGTAGATTTGCTGAAATTGGGAAACACTAGAGGGATGTAGTGATAGATTGCACAGTGATGTTTCAAGCTGCTTTCCAGAGAAGCAGACAAGCTTTCCAAGTTGGATTAATAATTTTAATGTTCTTAAATTAACTATGAGGAACACACATTTACACATTGTGATCACACAAGCTCCATTCTCCAAGGAAAATGAGCTAAAAGCTCACTTGTTTTTCTTTTTTTTTTCCTCCTCACATCTTGCTGCTTTTACTGTGACAACTTGAGACCCCAGGGAAGGCTGACTGGACCTATGTCAGCTGGCACAGCAGCTGTTAATTGCAAGCGACTTAAACAAATTTTCTGATATCAAACTTCCCCAAAAACGCACAGTAAAGACGATGCACGCGCTGCAAATAAATTAGAAGTATAGTTTGCATATGACTTTCTTCTACTAGCTCCTGTTGTCAAAACAGTTAATGTTCACTTCAGCTCTACCTACCAGAAAAACAAACAACAAACAGGTTGGTGACGTTATATTCTCAATCTTGAGTTTCAGCTTATTTGTTTATTTTGACTCAGCATAATATAAGTTTAGGTACAAATGTTCCAGAGAAAGACACTGCCTACTTGCAGAGATGATGATATGTCAGACAAATAAAGACTAGGCAGAGTTAGGCTGTGTCTGTACTTTGACATGAAACCTCCAAAAAAGAGCTATATACATCAAAAAGATGAATCTGCTGTCAACACCTCTCCTTGAGTCAGCTCTGGAAAAAGTGCAGCAGGATCTGGTGAGGAGACACCATGAAGCGGCAAGTTTCATCTCTGAGATAAGATACAAAACCAAATCCTGACCATGCGTTCAATTAAAAATCAGCTAGCTCTGCTCTCATGAAAGGCAAGGACTGCAGTGATGGCCATATTCCCACCTGTGCCACTTCCCTGCTGCCCAAGTATACCCCACCCCCCTTACATTTCTCATACCTGTCCTAAAGTTGGCGAGGGCTACTTTTGCATTTTACCTTAGAGGCAATGACAGTATATTTCATTACTGGAAAGAGCAAATCTGGTGAACAATTTGATTTTTATCTCCATATTATTATTAAGTCCTCTAGGGGAACATGTAATACATGCCTGCTTTTGTCTGTGATTGATACAAAATGACATTCCCTTCTTCAGCAGCAGATGCCTGCTTTTTAGGTTTATCTTCCAGCTCACGATACAAGCACTGCACAAACTAGATTTTTCTGTTCCTATAAAAGCTTATGGAACATTTTGCTGGATCCAGCTAAACCAAGAAGTGTTCCAGTTCCATAGCTTAGGGAAATAATCGTTGCATCATCTTTCATTTTGAATGTATACTTGCATCAGAAAATAGTGATGAAGTTGTGAAGTTATACAAGCTCACGTCGGGTGACTAGGAAGTAATTACTACTATAACAAATTCTTATTCTGCCCCAGTGAACTGTCCTTTGAGAACTTTGATATCTTGAAAAAAGACAACAGGAGTTCATACCAAAGAACTGCAGACATACCCTGGACTGAGAAAGAGCATGCAGTGAATAAAACCTTTGCTGACTCTTGCTTTACACAAAAACTAGATTTAACTGGTAGCTCTTTTTTTTTTTTTCCAAATGCACAAATCTTGTAGTTTTTTCTTATTGCTACAGTTCATAATTTAGGAATACTCTTTATCATAATGAAGGAAGGCACAAATCTAACATGTATTATCCTTTCAGGATTACGTACCTCAATTCAAATGTTGTATCAGTCGGTCTCTAAGAAAACAGACTGAATTTTCTGAGGTGACTTTGTCTGCATTTACTGATTACATTTATTTTCCACATAGAATTGTAGCTTTCTATATCATATAACCTAAGGAGCATTACCTAAATCTGGATTATAAAAACAGTGAGGCTGGGAGATTGTGATAAAGTAGAATAAACTCACAGAGAAAATAAAGACTAAATACTAGGACAGACTTTGTAAAAAAAGGAGTTCCATAAAACACATTACTTTTCCTGTTGTGTATCAAATTCAGGCTGATACACGGTTTTATGCTGCACTGGCTGATATTCTTCCCTTTGCAGTTTTATTGTTTGCTTTCAGTTACTTCTCGTTTTCAGTATTTAGAATTTAAAGAATAAAAATATTTATTCTGCCTCGGAAAACAGTCTAGGGGATACAGTTTTGGCTTAATTTGGCATGATAGGAAAAGGAGCCCTCTGTTCTGGTTGTAAATATTTTTAAAAGACACCTCCTTACCACTTTCATCCAGCAAGAAATCGTCCTGGTAACGGAACTTTTCTGGTCCACAGGCAATAAAAATGTCATCATCGCCAAAGAAATCCTGAAGGCACATCACCTGCAAGAAAAAAGAAAAGGAAGGCATTGTATGAAATACCTCATCATCAGAACTGCAAAAACAATAAATCCTTCCCTGTCTCCATCTGCAAGAAAATTCTTTACTTTTAATGGAATCAACAGGGTTTCATCTCCAGATCAATTTCAAAACTGTGCTCTGACTGTCTGCTACAAGTGAGAAACTCTTTTATGGACACTGCTGGAAGAACGAGATAAGACAAAATGCCATAACTGTCACATTTATTACATGATGTATCAATGTGGTATGAGGTAAACGCCTTTTGCTTACACACAAGGTACCATTCAGTAGTTACTGGATAATTAATTTGCTTTTGGAGCTCACATTCATATTCTTTGACAGCCATGAAACTAGGTAATGGTTTGTATACAGCATAATGTAGTTATTTCAGCAAAATCTACCTGACCGGCAATGAAACTTAAATGGTGGAGCTGAGTCTCCATCACATACTCATTATCTTCGCCAGTACAGCTTATGCAAAGTCTGTTTGAAGGCATACATCCGAATAATCTGGTGAGCTGGCAATTATTCTTCCAGTATCGAATAAAAGGATAATCCCTTTCTGCTCCCAAATACGAACAGTCAGGATCGGGCTTCTGTATTTTTGTGTCCATGCTTGAGTTTTCCTTACAATAGCTTTTAGTTCACAGGGTGCACTACTTTGACTTTCTTTTAACAAAAAAAACACGTTTAACCTTTCCATTCTGATGACTTTTTTGAAACTAATATTCTTAAAGGAAAATCAGCAACTTTCCCAAAACCTAGGATGTCTGGCTTTTTTGAACCTGCTTTGACAAAATTTAACAATAAATTAGATATTTGACTATCTCTAAGAAAACAAAGACACTTGGTAAACAATATTATATACTCTTCTCCTGCTTCATGCTTACAAAAAGATTCTAAAAGACTACTTTTGCTTATTTTTTATATAAAAGCATTATAATTAAACTGTATACTACTGTTAACAGCAGTATACTAATGTTTGAACAGAACTATTTCACAAATAGAATTTCATGTCAACGCCATACAGATAGGAAAGCAGCACATAAAGCATTTATAAAAATCCACAAAATAGTTGATAATAGTCCAGCTGAACCAGATCATCCGACTCATAAAAAATAGAGAAAAAGCATTTACAGCCTCAAAAAACAGAAGTGAAAAATTAACTAATAAGATCAGATAGACTTCTCCAGTCATTGGTGCAGAAAACAAACAAACAAACAAATCCCCCCTCAACTTGCAGTGATCGGTATCTAAAGGTTAGAAAAATCATATCATACTTCCTGGAAACATGCCAGAAGGCTTTGGCATCTACAACAGTTAAGAGTCTTTATGCTAGAAAATTCTTAAGGACGATACATAGCGGTATATATCACGACTTTCTTGCAGAGTAAGATTTGTCATTAAAACTATTTTACAGATAGAGTAGCTGAAGCAGGAGGCAATCAAGAGAAGAATTAGATGCAATAAACACCAGAAAGGAGACAAAGATAATCCTAAAATTACTCTTTCTTTAAGCAACACATGTAAATTTAAATTCAGGTCCACCACATCCCCATTCCTATCTACGTTCTCATTTGGCACCACATAGTACACGAACACCAACATCAAATATGTAAATATTTGACGGAGCTTTTTACTGTGTTCCTACTCAGTTTATGTTCTATTAGTGTATCAGCCTCAGCAACCTTTTTATAATTTCATTTACTTCCCATCTTGGTTTTTTTTTTGCCCACAAGACACATCCTGCCTATCTTCCCACCCCATACTCCCACCAAGCTTCAAACATCTCTTCACTCAGTCAAGTTCCTCTGAAATTACCACCTCTCCCACAGCATGCACAGAACTACTAATTTTCAGAATGACATTAAAAATCCTGTGGCTTCCTGTGTACCTCCTAAGTTTGACACGTTTCTGGGGAGTGATAACCTTTACATTTGTTTTTATATGAAGTACAGCTTGAGAACTGAACAAATAATACAGCAACCCTATGTATAAAGTTGAGCTATTTTGACAACATATATGAATTAAAATAAAATTCACATTTGAAAAAAAATGATATAGATTGAATCGAAATAAAAAGTATTTGGCTCTGTTCAATTGATAGCGTTTAATTCAAGCAAAAAAAGGCCTCAAAATGGAAGTAGCAACACCTATGCCGGAGTTCAACTGAACGAATATTTAAAACACCTCAAGTTAAATCAGTGCAATTTATATGCAAATAAGAAAATGGTATTAGCACAACAGAAAAATAATTTGCTTTGAATGAGCGTAAAATATATTTAGGTATCCTTGTTCCTTACAAGATTTCACTCATATAATTTAAAGTATTGTTATTGCTTGCCTCCTCTCCCCATGTTGTCAGTATGTGGTTACCACCTCAGCTTCCTTCTCTGTCTAACGACGTCTACTTTTTAGAGTTTCTCCTCTCCTGAAATTTTAATAATTGGGGAATTACCATTCCAGCTCTCAGAAAGCTCACAGCAAGAGTGTGAGTTCCCTCTGGGCCCCTTTCTCCTCAGGAATCTTACAACTTCTCCTCAGGCTTCCAGTATCTCTTTATGGGATTTATAAGAAGTCTTGACACATCCTTCACTATCTGCTTCCTTCTCTGCAGCGTTTCCCATCCTTTCTGTCTCACCGCGCCTGGCCTGCGCTGCTCCCCGACTCCAGCTCCTGAGCGGTTCTACCTAACGGCCTTTCCAGAAGGCATATAACAAGCATGCAGCACTCCCTTTCAGGCTTTTTCACAGAGAAATCTGCAAGCACTGTCTATTCACACTCAGTCATCAACGAAACAACGGGACCTGCTTTTTATTGCCCCTTTTCACTTCTGGAGAACACAACTCTCACAAATTATGGTTTAGAAGATCAAAGATTTGTATCGCCTGCATTGGACTGTGCCAGTGCTTAAGAGGCCAGTGTGCTTTGCTGCATATGACCATCTTTAAAATCAGCCAGTTTTTAAAAGGGTAAACTACACCTCCTCCTCAACGTTTTTGTTGTTTTCCGGTCACAGAATCCTGTTTTCCTCTTCTCGTTCATAAATACATTTCTACCTTCCATATTCCACCAGGACTTTTCTCACAATAAAAAAAAAGACAAAAAAAGCTACACAGGAGCAGCCAAACATACAACTTAAGTAACATGAAACTCTGAAAAAATAAAAGTTTTCCATCACCCATCTGGTACTAAATATACTGTGACACTTGTAAACAAACAACTTTCTGTCAGGTGATTTTTAAAGTTAATGGTGTCTCTCTTACACTCCTTCATGGAAAGGATAAATCACAGAGGACAAGAAGTCTCGGGCATCACAATCCTTTGCATCAGTGATAAAGAAGAAGAAAAGCAGCAGCAAAGAGAACTGATCACTAGTACAGGCACTGCGCAATATGCAAGCTCTATAAAAAAAGACTAGCTTTCGTTCAACAGGAAGCTACATGCCAGATGCAAAACAGTAGAGGTGGAAGAATTTGTCATGCCTAAACTTACCTGAGCAAGTTTTAGAGGTTGAAGCCTGGGTCTTTCTCAAATCCTTGTCTCTGTTGTCCGAGTAAAACAGCTTAAAATTTAAGAATTCCATCTGCCCTTCCAGTGGGAAACACAGGAGTCTAGGAAGAGCCCCAAAATATTTCATGCCTTGGAGGCTAGTCTGATGCTTTCACTAGAAAACCAGATGGGACACGTGGAGCCAACTGGCCCAGGCTCAGCTGCAGGTATACCACTAAGCAGAGCAGCTGAAATGCTCCAGAAGGAGGACAGAGAGCAGGCTAGCAAACTTGGCTTCCAGCCTAGGCTCAGGACTGGTTTTGCATTGTAGCATTGACACTGTAGGCACCTTAAAAATACTGTCACTTTTCTTTTTTTTTTTTTAATACGAGAGTAACTGCAACCAGTGCAAAATGTCCTGACTATTATGGAGCTTCTTGTTTCCTCTTGCCTGGCCTGAAGCGTTTAAGGTCTTAATATTCACCTCTTTGAAGTTGGTAACTTTTTTATGGAGACCCACGATCTATGAAATATGTAAGAAATTATGCTTTCCATTCAGGAGCACAGATGACCCAAGAGGAAAGAATGGCAGTATGCAGAGCCATTAGCTGGTTTTATTCTCTCACCACAAGTAAAAAAGAACAGTCAGTAGCGGTGGGGAGGAGGCAGAGGGAGAGAACAAGAGGGAGAAGATGGGAAGGAGAGAGAGAATCGATCCTTTCCCTAAATGTAGGAAATGAAAGCTACGGATGGAATCACCTCTTATAATGCTGATATTCAGGCTATAGTGAGGTCAGAGAGCTTTTTGAATTCATGCTTTAAAGCAAACACAAAAAAATACAGAACAGACCAAAACTTTTTGCATATGTCTTCTCCATCACAGCAAACTGAATATGCTCCTATTGCTCTAAAGCTGGCCAGATATCTAGTTAATACTGACTGAAAATTTTGAATAAAAATGAATCAGAAATTCAAATGTTCCTATGCATTCATGAATAGCTCATAATACAGTATCATCAGCATTACTAACTCTCATGTTAATACAATTTTCATAATGCTGGGTTAGTGGAGGGAAAGGAAAGGCGGGTGCTACGTGTATTTGTCCTCTTTCAGTAATAATAACTTAATTAGAGTCATAAAGCTGAAAGCTATTTTGGATGAGCAACGAGAAAATCTCAAGCTGGGCTGCTCTGAGGCAGCACACTTGTGGGTTGTTGGAAAGCTGGAAAAAAAAGTAAGGACAAAGAAATGAAGGGGAAAACAAGAAAAATCCAGAAGGATGGAAGGAAGTCAAATGGCAAATGGGTAAAGAGTTTTCTAAAAAGAAAAAAATAGATGGCAAAAGGAAAACATGAAGCATAAAGGACAGTGAACGTAAGACACATTGGTTATACAAGAGGGAGATTGTGTACGGAGGGCGACAGAGAGAGAGAGAGAAAGAAGTAGATGGGGAAAGAGAAGAAGTCCAGCAGAAAGGGAAGAAGAGAGAT